CATGGTGACATCTTGCAAAAAAACCTTTAGAGAAGGATTTAATACAACATCAGATAGGACAAGCATTACTGGGGGCCTTCCTGTAGGACTTACCCAAAGGTGAAATTGAGACAGGAACTCGGTGTTCCAGGGTCATATTTACTGATAACTTCACAAAGATGTTTCTACGTTTTGCTTTGCCCAAGATATCACTGTAATACTTGCGAGGAAACTGTTTTGGAAAATGGCTCTCCAGAGCACTACTATGCTGCTTTGTGCTCTGAAGCGTAACAAGGCAGAACTCACATCTTATTTCAGGCAGTGTTTTTCTCATAAGAGAACTGATCCCAGATTAGCTCTGAAGACAACAAATTGTTACCTGTAGCCATTTATTATTTTTTGCTGTGAAATATAAGAAAGATAAACTTGGTGGTTTAATTGGTGTAAGACCCATTGCTCAAGCAGCAGGCTTTATCACACGATCAATTTAAAGAAAAAGAAAGAAAATTCTACCAAAGCAGAGCCTAGCCTGGGTACTGAGAGAGCACTGTCAGAATTTGCAGTAAAGGACTCAGAGTCTGACAACTGAATTTATTAGAAAGAAGGATCTGGGCTCTGATGGATTCAGTCTTGATGAAAAATTAATGGATTTATAAGTCTCCTTTGAGCTTTTTAAAACATTAATACTTATTTTTATTTGTATTACCTTGATTTTAATGATTATTCTCTTACATGTGAACTGTACATAAATATTGACCTTGTCAACTGTCCACTCCCTGCACTAGTGGAAGGACCCTGGCAGCTCCCTGTGCTCTGCATCTTCTTCAGGCATAGAGAGAGTGTCTGGCTGATGTGGCTGTATTTTTGCTCCATTCATACAATTAGTTTAAGAATATTTTTATACAATAATTATCTGAACTTAGTGTAACTTGATGGAGGAGTGCTTTCTAAAATCAGATGAGTTGAGCACAAAATGTCATTTGTGCTAATCTGTCTGAAACTAGGAAAGTGTGAAATGTGCTGTAGAGAGGAATTATCTCTTCTGCAACATTATAGGCCAGGAAAAAACCCTGTTTATTACACAAAATAAAATGCATTTTTCACAAAATCTTAACTTATTCATTTCTGACTAAGTTAATGTGTTATTAATTGTGCATTTTTGGATACAGTTTGAGGGAGGGAGAACAAACTATCTCTAGCACTGCAGCCACTTAACTGTAACAATCACATTTTCTTTTTAATAGAGTAAGTTAATTTTTAAAGTGATCTACAGAGGAACAGATGGGGGAACGAATTCTCTGTGGGTATCTCCTGCTACACCGACACTCAGAGCACAGAGTGGTGCCTAGTGCCAGGCACATCTACCTTGCAGTTCTTCCTTCCCTTGTTCTCCCGTTATCTTATGCCTGGTGACCAGAAATGGAAAAGCAGCCTCTGAAGGTAAAAATTCTTCTGTCATCTGAGCAATCTGTTTCATAAAGAACCTCCTTGCTGGGCTGCAGCATCCCGCAGCAGGGTCCTGTCTTAGGAGGTTGTCTGTATGTCTGTAAGCACGATGAGCCTCCAGCAGCAAGGGAGGACCATGGATGCAAAGATGAAGCCAGGAGAGGAGTCCCTGGCACACTGATAGCAGTGAAAAACACAAGAATAATTAACTGCTACCTCATCCTCTATTTCGTTTCCTTGCTGACATGTGAACTCCTACTACACAGGAAGCAAATACCCCACTGGCTTCAGTTAAACTGGGATTTCACTCCAGATTTAATCATCTTCCTATCTGCTCATTAATTATTGCTCCACTAATTTATTTGTAAAAGGAAAGAGCAGCAACACATCAGCCATAAAGCAGACCTGAACTGTGGGTTTTCTATGTTCTGTGATTTTGGAAGGAAGTCTCAAACAGGGGGGACTTGGAGGCTGGAGACTGCTCTAGTGGGTGGTGTGAGCAGTTCCTCATGCTCCTGCAGTGTGCCCTGTCCTTCTCTTCTCATACACACACCCTGCAGCCAGCAAAGGGGCTGGGTAATAACACCTGATATTTTTTATCCAAATTTTTAAACTGGAAAATCTGCTTTCAGGTTAGAAGCAAGAGCATAGTGTCAGTTCTGGCAACTGATTCAGAGTTGCTGCAGGGAATAACAATCCCACTACCACAGAAGGAACTGCTTTGGCTGGCTCATGCTCCTTCAGGGTGACAGATCTGCACTAGAAAAGAAAGAAGAGTTCTACAACATACAATTAAAAAGTCTTTAATAACAGTAATTACAACAGAGCAAATAGGACAGAAACTGATAAAACCCCCACCCTTCTCATTGACATATTTTTCTTTAAAATGTTGCCTACAGCTGTTACCAGCCTCTGAACCTCAGAGAGTATGCAGAACCTGAACATTGGTAGAGGAGATAAATGCACCTTAGCCCATAGGTCATGATCGTGGGAAGCATTTTTAAGCCTTCTGTTGAAATGATTTACAGAACAGGTAGAGCTGATTTTGAGAAGTCTGAGTTTAGACATGCAAGAGATTGAGAGGGGAAAAAAAAGACCGTAGTAAAAGCTGGTGCCCTTTAATTTTCAAAGAATGAAATTATTGTCTATTGTATTTACTACTAATGACAATAATGTTATGTTTATCTGACAAATTTTGTTCCAAACCTCGAAAACGAGTGATGAGGTGCCCCAGAACAGTGCTGCAGTAGCACTGTATCTGCCTGAGCTCAGATAAGGAAGTAGTGCTGGGAGCTGGTGGGAGCAGTACACCCAAGAAGGAGGCACTCACTGCCTGGAGAAAAGCCCCCTGTGATACCTGGTAGTGTGTGCACACATCATCCCTCTGCTACTGGTCAGGCTTTTGCAAGATGTAGATCACAGACGAGAGATGACAGGGTGCTGTGGGGCATCAATGATTTTTCTGGGAAGATGTCTCAGGAGACAAGTATTGGTGTGACAGCTACTGATGTGCTCAGCCCCTGCTGCCAGTAGTGTTCCAGCAATACGGGTACCATGCAGGGCATCTCCCAGTGAGGATGCCAGCCATGCTTCTGCCTCCCACAGGAGCTTTGCCATAAGCAGCAGCATTTCTCCATGCAATCAGGCCCATCCTGGGCTGATGAGAGCCACTGCTGATGCCCCATGATGCAATCTAGTACAATCTGTTGGGGTAAATTTACATATCTGCTCCTTTGGGACTAAAAACCAGGGGCCTTGAGTTGAAGCCTCAGCTTTAAATTAGCTTCTCCAAAGCCACCCATCTCTGTAGATGCAGGAGGCTGGGTTTGACAGAAATGTGCTTTTTCCCCCCAGTCAGAGAAATTTCATAATGTCTATTTTGGCTTGGAAACCACACAGTCCAATCAAAAATTAAACACCCTCTCTGGAAAAAATGCAGTTCTCAGAGCATTTTAGAGTTATGCTAAGAATTTTGGACTTGTGCTGGGAGTCTGTTTCAAAATCAATTGAGCCTACCCCCTCCTGACTATCCCTCTCCATCCTCAACAGCCACCTATGCACTCATGCATAGTGCATGCAGGAAGGTGCAGTACGTGCCTTGGAATCATAGAATATCCTGAATTGGAAGGGATCCACGAGGATGATCTTGTCCAGCTCCTGGCCCTGCACAAGACAGTCCCAAGAATCACATCACGTGCTTGGGAGTGTTATCCAAATGCTTCTTGAACTCTGGCAGCCTTGGTGCTGTGACAGCTTCCCTGGGGAGCCTATTCCAGTGCCCAAACACTCTCTGGGTAAAGAACCTTTTCCTAATATCCAGCCTAAACCTGTCCTGACACAACTTCAGGCCATTTCCTTGGGTCCTCTCATTGGTCACCAGAGAGAAGAGTTCAATGCTTGCCCCTCCTCTACTCCTTGTGAGGAAGCTGTTGACTGCAATGAGGTCTCCTCTCAGTCTTCTCTTCTCCAAGATGAACAAGCCAAGTGACCTCAGGCACTCCTCATATGGCTTCTCCACCTCAGCTGTTCCCCATACGTGTTATTTCACAGCATGTTATTTGCCTGGATGGCTCAGAAATGGTTGGACCAGGCTTCGAAGCACTGGAGATCACCTCACCTCAAAAATAGCACTATATTTGAGGAGATAGAGATTTTGAAGCCAAGATTTGCTGCTACATGTCTCTGTTCTCCCTGGGCCTCCAGCAGAGCTGGTTTGTCTTTTGGCTAAGCTGAGGAGTTCAATGGCCCATGTCTATGTGGATTAGAAATGATTCACTCTGTCAGGAAAGGGATCCTTTAAAACAGTGGCAAATTGCTTCAGTGGGCATTGCATTAGATTGTGCTTTATATTTGACTAATCAATACGTTTGTATATATAAGTATGTAAAGCTGCATCAGTTCCTAGCAAATGCAATATTCATGTAGGTGTGATGTCATGGGCATCTCTCCCCATTTCACCACAGCTAGAGCAAAGTCTGCAGTAAGTGCAGGACAGGCAATCTCATACCTTGCACCTTGGCTGCTCAGTAGTGAGGATCCAGAAGCAGAACAGGCAAAGACTGATACATTTGATTTCAGAAGGTTTTGCAGAAAAAAAAAAAGATATCTATTCCAGTTACAACAGTGGTATGACTCTCAAATTAGAGTTTTTTTGCCAGTTTTCCCAGTGATGGTCTTTAGCAATGGCAAAAGGAGGCTTCTCAAGGAAGGGTTCAGCTCACATTATGAGTCCTGGGCAACTGTGGACAAGGTGGAGCTAGTCATTGACTTCACTTCCATGTCCACTGAAACTATCATTTCTTCCAGCACGAGTTAAGGAATGTCAATTTACACATCAAGACTGATGTGCACAGGGGTAAATAGGAAATAACATGCACCTCGTCGGGATTTTTCCCTCTGTGAATTCCATTTCTGATTCTGTTATTCCATGAATCACCACAAGGAAGGTCTAGGCTTCTTTGGGTTTTTTTTTGCCATCTTGCACCACTCCTCCAGTGTATCACTAAACCGTTCTTAAAATGCAATTTAGTTGACCTAGTTCCCAACAGAAAAAAAAACCTATTTCCAGCCCCTACCGGTTGCATCTCACATATCCTTCAGGAACCACCTACGGGGATTAAAGAGTGAACCCATGTTACAGGCACCAAATCTCTTAGTTTATCATTAGGTTGATAATATCCTTCAACCTCATTACTATTCTATCATTAGGATTTGAGTGGTTTGAGTGTTTGACTAAGTGGGTTTTTTTTTCTCCTCAGAGGTATAAGAGATGCTGCCTCTCAGCAAGGTGTCCTGAAAACCTTTTCTTAATGAACAAGTGATTAAAAGGCTTAAGTGCAAGCAAGCATCCAAAACACAAGCTGCCTTTTCTTAATGAACAAGTGATTAAAAGGCTTAAGTGCAAGCAAGCATCCAAAACACAAGCTGCATTATCACAGAATGAGCCAGAAATAGGATAACCCTCAGCGTCACTGAAAGCACCGAGGTCCTTCACTCCCATGCTCTCGACACTCTCTTGTTCTGTCTCAGTGGTAGCATCTGGGCAGGGTCCCATGGGCAAGCTGTGCTGTGGCCCAAGTTCCATCAAGGACATCTGGCTGTCCTCTGCCATGTACAGCAAAGCCAACCCAGGACAGAGCTGACTTTTCCCTTGTTCCATCGCTGGTCTCAGGCAGCTCGGGATCATACTGTGAGCATCCTGTTCCTACCCAGGCTGCGTCTCCTTTGAGCTGGCTTCCAGGACAGCATAGCCAGCAAATGAGAGCAAGACAGAGTCCTTGGGGGTTTGTACTTCTGTGCTATCTCATATCTCTCTGTGCTATTTCATTTGGAGGTACGGTAAGGTAACACCTGGGCTTCAGCATCACTTCTCAAGACATGGAAATGACTGGCAAATGAACACATATGGAAGGATTGTCAGCCAAGGAAATTTTCCTAGAGTGAACCCCTGGTCCTTCAGAAGCCAGAGAAAACTTACCCAGTGGTTACAGCAGAGATCAAATGTCAGCTCATTTTCTTCGCTAGATGTGAGTGTTTTGCCGGCATACCAAGGGCAGTCCTCAGTGCTGCTTCTCTGAGGGATCCCTTGGTGCTGCCATGGCAGCCTGTGCCCAGTATCTGCTCGTTCTCCAGTTAGGTATGGGATGAAGAAGAAGGCTCTGGGAAAGCAATGGTGGGTGTTTAACACACCATACCAGCACCTCCAGGACCTCAACATAGCACCAATGCCAATGCTATGTATCTGACAGGGTCCTTCTGGTGGCACATGCTGCTTATTATCTGAATGAGGAAAGGTGGAGAGATAAAAATAAAATCCCCTTCCTGACCTTTTTTAGAAATTTCTCTTCCATTTGTTTCTATTTCTGTCCTCTTCTCATTTGCTCCAGTAACTGAAACAGCAGCACGAGCTGACACTATCTGTCATTACCCACATCATTTTCAGTGACACTGGTTCAATTAACTGCCCTCACAGATATCTCCATGCTCCTGAGAAAAAAGTTTTGTTTCCCTGGCCCCATAGAACCTATCTGTAGGGATGGGGTCAACTTTGCTGCCTTTGATGTCCCGTGGAGTTTTCTGACTGACGCGTTCTGTGGTGGCTTAACCATTTCCTATTTCTTGCTGGCCCCAGAAGATGTGGGGATCAGGTGCCTGTACCATCCCCAGCGCCATGTTCGGGTGTCACCACCACCGAGTGAATTAAACCTCTGACATGGCCTTCCCAACTGCCAGTACCCTGTGGCTGTTTTGCTCTTGTTAAGTGCTTGGGATAACCTTGCTCAGAAGCACCTTTGATGGGGCTCCCTGGGCGGGAATCCTCACTGAGGGCTGGGTCTGCCCAGGGCAGGCGCAGTGGCTGAGACTTGAGGAAGAGCCATTATCCTCTCTGTACCATGGCCAGAAGAAAAGCTGCCCAGTCTGCCTCTGTTTTTCTGCCACTCTTATTGTGGAGCATCTTGTTTATTGTAATTCTTTTTATTGACCAGAATATAATGTCCTCAGTTTTGATTTAGCTTGTGGTTTCTATATAGATAGCATCTAGGCACTTATGACTTCCTTTTAGGTTGTCATTAAGGACTGTGTATTAGTTTTCAACACTGCCTATTTTCTTCCAAAGGCACCTCTTCTCCTTCCAGTCATTTGAGATACCTGTGGAAAAGGAACATTTTGCATAACTGACACTGGGTTATGACCTTGCTTCAACTGGAGAAGACTTTTAACAGAGGAGAGGTTAGTATAATCCAGGTCGTAACAGAATTATCCAGTCCCAGACCTCTGATTTCTCTTCTTCTGAAGAGAAGAGGCAGTACAAGTGATCTAACATATCTCATCCAGGGCTGTGAGTAGAGTGCTGATTCACTGGAGAGCAGGAAATCCAGGAGAAATACTTTATTAACTTCTTGCCCTGCTGGTAGCCTAGGTGGAGAGGGGAGTGGAAGGGAGTCTTAGAATTAAAAGTCTGATAATACGCCAGGGAGATGATGACAAAAATCAAAAGGGAAAGCACATTTTATTTGCAAAGTTCAAGAAGGGTATTACAATCAAGAAGAGGAAAGCAAATTAAAGCATTAAAAATAAAGCACTTGATAGGAACTCTTTGAAGGGGTGGCTAAAAAATATTTCACTCAAACTCTCTCATGACACCACCCTATTCCCCCCTTCTGTCCATTTTCCCCCCATGTCACATCAATTAATTGGATTACTGTTTGTGATGCCATCCCACCTGTGCACAGACAGTTTCAAGCTGCTCAGGAAGGAGCCCCTCTGGGTTAATCTGACCTCTGATCCCCAAAACCAGCTTCTCAGTTCCTGACCCTGTGCTGAGCTGCGTGTTGCAATAAGTTTTATATCACAAGAGAGGATGGTCAATTCACCAGGGAAGGCCCCTTGAATATGAAATTCTAATGCACTTATGTGTCAAGAGTTGAGAACTTTGTCTCCTTCCTTCCCCTCCAGGATGGGCTGACCCAAAACAGTGGTGGTGGACAGGGAATAGTCAGACACTCTGCTTAGTCCAACATGATGGTGGGGAATTGGCAGAGAAAAACACAGCTTAAGCTCAAGCCTGGCTTTTGTGCTTATTGTTCTTCACTTGTGCATGCTGGAAGCTCAGGAATGCTCTGCCAGAGCCTGGGAGCAGAGCTGTTGCCAGTGCTGCCACAACTACTGCTCCAATTCCCCTTTTCCTCCTGCCCAGCCAAGGGTGCCCTCTTGAAACCTTTAACTGGTGACACCGCAGGTACTTTGGGCTTTCATATTAAAACCTAAAAACTATTTTATTAGCTTCAAAGCAAAGGGGGAATGTCCAGTGGAAAAGGTAGGCTTCTCCACCCTGAATGCTTTTATAATCATCCACTACCCTTTGAAGAAGATTGTGAGACTGTATTTGCATATACATACATACATACATACATATAAATATATATATATATATACTTCCAATCCATCAGGCTGCTGCTTGGGTACCACTAATGTGTACAGCTGTCATGACAGTACCAACATGAGGCAGAAGTACAGTTTTACTCAAATAATACTCCAGCCCCACCTGTGATTTAATTGCTGAGCTGAAAGATCTAAGGACAGGGATGCCAGGCCAGGCCATCCTCTGTTTAGCTTGGTCTCGGAGTCGAGAACAGGAGAAACCATAGGGAAGATGTGGGAACAGGGTGCATGCCGCTGATGCTCTCCTATGGCCACAAATCCACCCACACACTTCACCACTGGAGACCTTCCAGGGAGATTGCAAATTCCCTGAAACTCATCCTTTCCTGTAGCAGGAAGCCAAAGAAGAAGCCAGGACTTTAAACGGTTAGAATAAACCTCAGTCGGAGCAGTTCTAAATGTAAGGTGTATGTCTTCAAAAGCATAGCATAAATATTTCAGCAATTCTTCTGATATTAGAATTACCCAGACTGGCTGAGATTAAAAAAACACTCAAACGAACACAATGCATCAAATTGCATTGCATCAAATCACCTCCACTCACCGAGTACCCACCAGAACTGTGTGGATGGCACGTTAAATTGCATGGGCAGGCCAAGTTCTTGTGTTATACTAAACATTTCCATTGATTTTAAGGGCCTGTTAATTATTTTAGTGATGCAAAGAGACCTGTTGACTTAACTTTGACCAGTGTGGGGAATGCAAGGGCTGGGAGCAGGGCAGGCAGAGATGGCACTGGTTGGGGTGGGAAGAGGGGGTCAGGCCAGTGAGTTTCTTTGGGCTCTTTAGCCTCGTGGGATGATCAGTCTGCGACATATCTGATAGGGGCATCAGGGAGAGGGGGACAACACTTCTCTCAGCCAGCCACCAGAACAAAGACTTAAAAAAAGGCATTCTGTAACTTCTTGCACAACAGCAGAAAATGTGGGAGGAAAGCAGAGGCAAAGCCCCTGTACCCAGCACACACTTCTGTGCAAGCATGGGCATGCTGGCTCTCTGTGGCTAGCAGGCAGGCTCCTGCACTTGCCACACAGCTTTTACACCAGGGCTTTGCCGAAGTGAAGGTACAACGCAAAGCATGGGACTTGAGAGAGACTCGGCACAGGAAACTGTAGCACTATACCTGATGAGAAACTTGTTTAAACATGTCTTAAAATGGCTCTTTGTGGTCCCTTTGCAAACACGTGTTTCTTCTTCCCAATACCCCCCACAGCAACTGTTATCTCCCATGTAGGAGTGTCCTGGGAAAGGTGTCCCGAGGTGTCCCATTGGTCCTTTGTTTAACCCTTTCCTATTGGCTGTTAACCCCTTACCTGATGGTTTCTTTTGTGTGACCCTGAACTTGTGATTGGTTCCCCTTTGACCCTCCTAAAAGCCTTATAAACCCCTTCCCAACAATAAACTCCCTCTTGCCTCCTCTCCACGCCCGGTGTGCTGTCTCTGTGCCTGCCATGGAGCCACGTGGGTGGTGGGGGGAGGGGAGGGCACCTCTCCCCTCCAGGCTCGGGGCCTGAAAAACCCTGTTTCTGGAGTTCCCCTTCCCCGTCCCACAAGACGTCGGAAATGGTTCTTCAGACGGAGAGGGAACTAGAGCTGGGATCCCCCACGTCGTGGATGGGGAAAGGGAAACCCATAGGAAACTGCCAGCAAAGCAAGGGAGAGGAACTCCTACAGTGTTAGAGAAAATGAAGAATGGAAGGGCTGTGGGGTGGCAGCAGCCTTATCGTGTTGTTAAGCCTCAATCTAATTAAAAGAGATACATAATTAAAATGAAGCAATTAACCATTTTGTAATTAAATACAAAAATAATTAGGTTGAAATTGAACACGATAACATCCAGTTGTCAGGACAGGATTTATTTGTACTTTAATCTGATGAATTATTTTCATTGTTCTACTGATTGCATTCCCGTGGAAAGAAATGAGTCCTTTCTGCAAAAGAGGACACAAATTGTTATTCCATGTCCTTTGGGCTTATTGAAACCTAAACTATGATACAATGACTATGCGAGCCATGATTCCACATTTCCACAGAAAGGGCTTCATTTTTGTCAGTGCCCCAAGAATTTCATGTTATAAGCTGTTTTCCATCATACTTGTTTGCAACTATTTTGTCCCTATAAAATGTAAAGCACTTGGCTTAAAATGGTGATGCTCTGTATAGAATTTCAGAGCAGAAGAAATAAGTACATGGACATGAAGTCCATTAGAGCGTAGCAAATTTACAACTACATTTTGACAGGTAGACCCTGAACCATTAATGTTTATCAACCTGCTTCTGTTTCTCTGTGCTCATGTGTAAGGTGTTTATGTGCTTTGCTAGATAAAGGCGTTAAAAAGTGGGATTACGAAGTAAGAGAGGGATTACCAGAGTAAGAGTAGGTCACTTATTCTGATGCCCTTGTGGAGATTTGAGTACATGAGTTTAGACTTCCCACCTTGAACAGAGGATGGAAAAAGTCTTTTCTTCTTTCTCTGTGCCAACAGTGACAACTCAGTATTGCTCATCTCAGAACAAGGGCATGTCTTGGTGCCTTGCTTGTCTTCAGTGGAGCTGCAGTGATTTATGAAATAACTGAAGTCATCTGGGCAAAACACAATGAAGAACAGTAAGAAATACTGTAAGGATGTAGATCCATCTTTCATTTGGACATTTTCAGCTGACAAATTTCTTGCTGGTGTGGGGATTTAGGACATTGGTAGTGTCCTTCATCGCTCTTTACTTGAAGCATATTGCCATTTGTGTAGCTTTTGGTCTTCTGTGCTACAAGTCTTGTGCTTGCCACAGTGATGGAGCGAGCCTTGTGCTGCGTGAATATATATTAGAATTTTGGTGGACTCTTCCAGACTAAGCATCTATTTCAAGCAGTCTGTAGCTGAGGGGAATGGTGACCTGTGGACCTTTTTGCAGTCTCAGTTCTGTGCTTTGAAAAAAAAGAATTGTGGATTTATCTGTGAAAAGAGTCATCTCAGTTAAGATCACAGAAACTGCCAAATTTTTCAACCTCATTGGAGATGGGACATTAGGCAAGCCTGGCGTTAGATGCCTCAAAGTAAGGCATAAGAAAACCAAGAGCAGATGTCTAACAATCTTCTACTTCTGCTCACATGGTTCTCTAATACTCAGACTGGTGTAGGGCACAAAAAAAGTGGTTCAGTACCTATTGTCCAATTTCAGGAGTGAAGTTGTTGTTGGTGGGTAATTAACAGGAAATCTGTACTGCAAAGAGA